CCTCGCAGTTTTCATGGGTTGTGAGCTCTGCTGGAGTTCTGTTGGGTCGGCTCTAATCGCGGGGACCTGGTGCAACAAACCGAGCCAGATGGTGTCCAGAACGCGCGGCCTCCGTTGTGAACATTTATTAAACCTTAGATCTCTCTCTCTCTCTCTCTCTCTCTCTCTCTCTCTCTCTCTCTCTCTCTCTCTCTCTGTGTGTGTGTCGCCCTCGCCTGCTATCTGCCTGTGCGCGTGCGTGCCGGCGCATCCACGTGAATTAGACTGGTCGAACTGGAACCGCATGCTTGGATAGTGCGTTTGCTGCGCGCTCTTTATCAAAAGCCCATCCTGCAGGGAGTTTGAAGTGATGCCGAACAGATGTGTGCACGCGCACAGAGCTGTTCCTCGGCGTGACCAACACTTTAAAGGCATTCATTAGAGTTCGGCTCCTTTTCAACACGATTCGCCACACAGCTTTACCCAGTTCAGACGCTCTCACCCACAGACAGCGAGATGAGGCGCATGCAAGTATACACTCCACCCAGTACATCCACTACAAAGTGCGTGCGCGTAGAGCGCGCGCAGCTGCTACTTCAAAGAGCAAAAAATAAGAGAGTAGGTGAGATGTAGTACAGTCGTGGAAGTGAGTCAAAAGCTGAACTTTATTGGAAATTCGTTATTCTAAACGAGAGGAGTGATAACGAGCAGGTCTATTTCATCTCGATTTGGAGACGTTGCGTCTCCGTGCAGTCTGGAGAGGACAGACCAGGAGCGCGAAAATCGTAAACCTTTCCAAATGAGTCACCAAAAAAAACTGTGATGAAGTGCTTCTTTTATTGGGTTGATTTCATCCCCTCCTCCCTGTGAAAAGTTGTAAGAATGAACCCCACCAGGCGGGGTTAACCCCCCACCCCCCACCCCCAGGTCCTCCCCTCCTGCATGTTCCTCTTCTTTGGATTTCAAGTGGCCACCAGCCAGCTTCTGATTTGAGAAGCGTTTGTCTTTACCGGGATGTGAAGAAAGGAGGGGGAGCAGAGCTTATGTACAGCTAGGGGATGTGAGGCGGGTTCTTCTGGGCAAGTGTGTGAGCAGAGACACCTCAAACGGAGAGAGGGAGCGGAGGAGAGCGCACGGCGCACAGACCAGACGCAGAGAGGGAGAAGGCGCACGGATTTCAGTTGGTTCTCCCACACGCTGGATGCGCACAGAAGATCTGGATGCAGCAGAGGAGACTTTCAGAAAGATTCGGATGTCTTAAGGACATTGGTGCAACTTAAATGAGGCTTTTTCTTTAAACAGAGGCATGTTTGTGTTCTCAGTCCGTGGAGAAAGCGATGCAGCTGCCGAGTAACGGAGCTGAGCATTTAAGAAGTTAGGACTGGAGCCGATCTCCTCTCGTTTGCGCTGATTTTTGAGTCTTGATTCCCAGAAATAGGACATAATGACGGGGCTTTTTCTGACAGTTGCGACTGTTGTGGCGCTGGCGGCGCATCACGCGGCCGGTAAGACTCTGAAATACCAGATCTACGAGGAGCAGAAGGTCGGCACCGTTATTGCTCGTTTGAAAGAAGACGTCGCGGATGTGTTAGCCAAACTTCCCAGCTCGGTCTCCCTCCGTTTCAGAGTTATGCAGCGGGGGAACTCGAATTTCCTGAGCGTGCGTGAGCAGGACGGAGAAATCAGCATCAGGACCAAGATCGACCGCGAGAAACTCTGCGACAAGAGTCTGAACTGTCTAATCCAGTTTGACGTTCTGACGCTCCCCACGGAGCACCTTCAGCTGTTTCACGTGGAGGTGGAGGTGCTGGACATCAACGACAACGCACCCCAGTTTGCCCGCGCCGTCATCCCCATCGAGATCTCCGAGAGCGCGGCCGTGGGAGCGCGCATTCCACTGGACAGCGCCACGGACCCCGACGTGGGTGAGAACTCGCTGTACACATACGCGCTGGAGCCCAACAACTTCTTCAAGATCGACATTCAGTCCAGGAGTGACGGGGTTAAGTACGCGGAGCTGGTGGTGCTCAGGGAGCTGGATCGGGAGGAGCGCTCCACTTACGAGCTCCAGTACACCGCCTCTGACAGGGGCGTTCCCCCGAGGACAGGCTCGACCCTCCTCAAGATCAATGTGGCTGACTCAAACGATAACAGCCCGGTGTTCGAGAAGTCCTCATATGTCATCAACCTGCCCGAAAACTCACCTGTTGGCACGCTGCTCATTGATTTGAACGCCACAGACGCGGATGACGGCACAAACGCCAAAATCCTCTACTCCTTCAGCAATCACGTGTCGCCCAAAATCATGGAGACATTCAAAATCAACCCTGACAGCGGTCACCTGACCCTCATCAGGCGTCTGGACTATGAGGTGCTGAACTCTTACGACATTGACGTGCAAGCGCAGGATATGGGCCCCAACTCCATGCCCGCTCACTGCAAGATCCTGGTCAAAGTTGTGGACGTGAACGACAACAAACCAGACATCAGCATCGATCTCATGTCCACTCAGGGGAACGGAGACGCGGCGTACATATCTGAGTCGTCGCTGCTGGAAACCTTCGTAGCCTTCGTGAGGGTCGAGGACCTGGACTCTGGGCTGAATGGAGAAGTAGAGTGTAAGCTCCACAGTCAAGGGTTTTTCAAGCTGCAGAAGAAATACGAGAACAACTACATGATTTTAACCAACGTGTCTTTGGACAGAGAGAAAAGGTCAGAGTTCAGCTTGACTGTGGTGGCTGAGGACCACGGGACACCCAGCCTCTCCACCGTCAAACACTTTACTGTGCATGTAACTGACGAAAATGACAACCCGCCCCGCTTTGAGAAGGGACGATACGAGATCTTCAAATCAGAGAACAACGCCCCGGGAGCATACCTGACATCCATCATGGCCACTGATCCTGATCTGGATGCCAACGGGCAGGTGAGCTACTCCATCTTGGAGAACTCTATTCACGGGAGTCCCATCTCCACCTTTGTGACCATTGACCCCTCTAATGGTGCCATCTATGCACTGCGTACATTTGACCGTGAGGATTTGAGTCAGATCTCTTTTGTCGTGCAAGCCAAAGACGCAGGAAAACCTGCACTGACCAGCAATGCCACCGTGACTCTGAACATCCTGGATGAAAACGACAACCCTCCGGTCATCATAATGCCCCAGTTGTGGAATTTTACAGCAAATGTTCCTGCATCAAAGTTTACAGAGGCTGGGCAGTTGGTGACAGTTGTCAAGGCGACCGATCGCGACACAGGGGTCAACGCTGAGCTCATTTGCTCCATTGTCAATGGCAACGAGGAGGGATTCTTCCTCATCGACCCAAGAACATGTGAGATCCACGCCAACGCTAGTCTGGAGAACTTCCCTCATGAGCATGTCGAGCTTACAGTGGTGGTCAGAGATCAGGGAAGTGAAAGCCTCAGTGCCAAGGCTGTTCTGAAGATTACCCTCTATGAGAACATCGAGGGCCACGTGGAGCTGATCGATCCGGGGGCATCCTCCTTCGATTCGTCCATGATCATCATCATCTCTTTGGTGGTCATTTGTGCTGTGCTCCTGGTCATCATGGTGGTGTTTGCTGCCCACTGCAACCGGGAGAAGAAGGACACCAGGCACTCCTACAACTGTCGGGTTGCAGAATCCACCCACCAGCACCACCCCAAGAAGCCCACGCGGCAAATCCACAAAGGCGACATCACCCTGGTTCCCACGGTGAATGGCACCCTCCCAATCAGAGCGCACCACCGCTCACCCTCGGCCACGCCTCCCATGGAGCGAGCCCAGATTGGAAGCCGGCAGAACCAAAACAGCCGGCAGTCCCTAAACAGCCTGGTGACCATCTCATCCAATCACATCCCAGAGAGCTTTGCCCTGGAACTGGCGCACGCTACCCCACCTGTAGAGGTGAGCACACGGAGACACACACACATAGCTGGTCTTCAGTCTCTGTCTCCCATAAACACACACACACACACACACACACACACACACACACACACACACACACACACACATCTGTGGTCTTCAGCCTCTGTCTCCCATAAACACACACACGCACACACACACACACATACACACACACACACACACACACACAGACGCACACACAGCTGTGGTCTTCTGTCTCTGTCTCCCATAAACACACACACACACACACACACACACACACGCACACACACACATGGCTGTGGTCTTCAGCTTCTGTCTCCCATAAACACACACACACACACACACACACACACACACACACACTCACACACACACACACACACACACACACACACACACACACACACACACACACACACACACACACACACACACACACGGCTGTGGTCTTCAGCCTTTGTCTCCCATAAACACACACACACACACACACACACACACACACACAGACACACACACACACACACACACACACACACACACACACACACGCACACACACACACACGCACACACACGCGCACACACACACGCACACACACACACACACGCACACACGCACACATGCACACACACACACACACACACACACACACACACACACACACACACACACACACACACACACGCACACACACACGCACACACACACACACACACACGCACACACGCACACACACGCACACATGCACACACACACACACACACACACACACACACACACACACACACACACACACACACACACACACACACACACACACACACACACACACACACACACACACACACACAGCTGTCAGTTTGAGCAAATTAACTCATCTCCAAATGTGACTTAATCGCCGCTGCCTTGTAGTTCAGACTGACTCTCATTAAAACTGTTGATGACTACAGATGTCGTTGTCTTTATCCTGTTTACACCCTGTCACCATGACCTCCATCACCGCCATGACTCGACCCCCAGCCACTAGACTCGCCCCGTCTCCGCTCCCCGTTTTTGTTTAAATGTCATCCATTTTGTCTCACCCATTTTTAGCAGCCTCTCCATCATCCATTTTATGTTTACTCATCCATTATTTTGTCTTCTTCGTTGTCCCCCCCCCCCCCCCCCCCCATGTCCCATCTGGTATTCATCCCCCTTTTTTCTGTTTCTTTTTGTTTTATTTTGTTTGTTTTTGTCATTTTTTTTGGGTGTAGCAAGTCTCACAGCTTCTGTCCATGCTCCATCAGGGCCAGTACCAGCCCAGACCCAGTTTCCGTGGCAACAAATACTCCCGCAGCTACAGGTAATTTACCCCCATCCCTCAGCCCCCCCCCCCCCCCCTCTCTCTCCACTTCCTGAAATTTTCTGTTTACTTTTCAAAACCACTTGTTCCTCATTGTGTATTCCATGCTCCAACAACCTGTTGTGGAAGTTTGTCGGCTGATCTGTTGGATTGTTTGATGTCATGTGATATTCGTGTGTTTCATGCTCAAATTGTCATGAAGACGATGCCGCTCAGTGTAAAAGAATCACTGGAAGTCTCACGGATTCGATGGTATTTTTTGTGGAATCCAGGCTCCGGTTGTAAAGTCTGCATCCATCAAAACCTCCATCATGACACCTCCTTATGATCTCTAAGTGATGAGATTTATTGATGTCCCTTGTGGCTGCTGTGGCGGATTTGTTGATGGGATCTACCTGCATGTAGAATTTATGAGCCAGGCCTTGTCTGGCGATTTGACAGATGTGCGGAAGCAGCAGGTGTGATGTGATGGATTCAGTCTTCTTGTCAGGCAGACTGATTTATCCAGCTTTACATTAGACACATAAAACTTTCCTCACTTCTATTCAAATGGCACTGGTGTGTTTGCAAACTTTACCTCCGTTCCTCCTCACAGGTATGCATTGCAGGACATGGACAAGTTCAGCCTGAAGGACAGTGGCCGTGGGGACAGTGAGGCGGGGGACAGCGACTGCGAGATGGGGCGGGAATCCCCTGTGGACAGGCTGCTGCTAGGGGAGGGCTTTTCTGACTTAATGCACCTCGAAATGCACCATCGGCTGCACCCAGGTGAGGCTTTTTTCACCACTTTGCCTCCGCCTCAGCAGCTGCACCCTTCAACAGCAACACTTTCCTTCTTATCCACTTTGACACCTTCTGCAGTACTCGGTTGTTTTTCATCCCTGACACCTTCCGCAACAGCTGCAGCTCAACTATCGCCTCTCATTTTGGAGGATAATCACACTTTAGCTAAATATGTTAAAGGAAAGTTGTCACTCGGGGTTCTGCCTGGAGTGAACAGAGATGATTTTCACTCATCTTACAGGTTTAGAAGATAAAAAAAAAAGAAAAAAGCTAGAAGTGACCCGAACGATCCAGACCACACCCTACTCCCAAACGTAATGCCTGCCGGACAGATTTCAGCACCATGGACAGCGCCAGGACTAAGCCTATTATTTGTCTATACACCTGCCTTTACGGCCACTAAATTCACCCTGTTGCCAACACAATCTCTATTGTACTCAGCTCCATTCCTCCACACAATCCTCATTTCCACGCTCGTTATCGCAGTGCGAGAGGTTACAGCGTGCCTGGCTGTTTGTGCGTGTGTGTGGTTGTGTCTGTGCGTTATCTGCCCTTAAGATAGAGTCGTGTCTGTAAAATCCTCCCCGGAGCGGAGATGAGTCGCCTGTCACTCATCAGTATGCGTCTCAGGGTGCTGTTTTTTCTCCTCCCTTCACTCTTTTTTTCCCCCTTTCTCCCTTTTCCCCCTGGTGAGTGACAGTGGTGTGCTTTCATGTCTGAACTGAGGAGAATTCATGGTAATTGCTTTTAGAATGATGTTATTCTCTCCGTCTCTTAGTAAGTCTGTCCCTCTCTTGCTTCCTCCAACATGCCCACAAGCTCCTCCGCATCTCGCCGTCTCTCCCCTGTACTCATTAATGCGTCCTCCATCTTTATCGAGATAGATAAGGGGAGGGACGGTGGGCATGGGCAGTCTCATCTTATTTTCTTTCTCCTGGGAAAGACTTGGAGGTGTTGCATCTCTCTGACCCACAGACGAGCTTACCACAGCTCTTCCTCGAGAGAATTCATTTGTTCAGATGGATATTCATTCTGAGCATGACAAAAGAACCAAGAAAGCAAATTTGAGCCTCAGCTTTGTTGTTGGGAGATGTGGACAGAGTTGGCGGGGTGGCCAAATATTACATTAGCATCTGCCTGTGATGCCGTGAGGGTGGGATCTGGCACTCGTTCATTCATTTATCCAGCTCCTGTCAGGGCTTCGTACCTGGCACCACATGGACATCCATCCTGTAAGCTGTAAATAACACCAGTATGTGGCCAGGAAGAGGAAACAATCAGACTGGGATTTAAAGTAAAGCTGACCAGCTCGGCTTTGTGCTTCTCTCATTCAAAGGGATACTTTGCAGCATTTCATATTTTTAAATCGTTTTTGAGCCAGTATGTGCTAAATTGACCCTTTGCAGGGTTAATGAAAGGTCACCCTGCATCTATCGCCCCCTGTGGCCAGAATAATCCACTTGCAACTTCAGACTGGCAACCACTCTGTTGGGACCTAGAAAAACTGAGCTACACACTTGGCGCTGCGGTCTAGTTCCAGCACATTTCCTGCATGTTTTAGATTATGAACACGGCTGATTCGTTTGATTTAGTGATGGATCACTCCTGTAGACACTAATAAAGACTGGGGAGGCATGCCAGCTGTTAGCTTAAAGCAGGGGTGCCCAGTCCTGGTCCTGGAGGGCTGGTATCCAGCAGGTTTTAGTTTTAACCCTTCTTCAACACACCTGAATTCAATCAGCAGGGGATTAACAGGCTTCTGTAGAGCCTGAGGAGCTGCTGCACAGGTGATTCAACCATTGAATCAAGTGTGTTGGAGCAGAGAAACCACAAAACCTGCTGGACACCGGCCCTCCAGGACCAGGATGGGGCACCCCTGGCTTCAGGTGTAAAAAGACAAACGCACAGGGAGAAGATACGTTTTGGTTTTGGTTCTACAAATGAACACTAGGGGGGGGGGGGGGGGGGGGGGGGGGCTAAAAGCCAGCCCAACCTGCCTAGTTCTGCAACAGAAGCTAAATGCTCAAGTTTTTGTTTGATCGTATTTTAGGCCAAGAAACTGTTACTAAAGTAACTTTTCAGAAGAAACTGCTTTTCAGTTTAGGTGTCAATGACCTTCGGGTTAATGTTAGTTGAGACTCACCACACACACACACACACACACACACACACACACACACACACACACAAAGTAGTTTTTTTCAGCTGAGTTGTTTTGCTGTCACTAAATGTCAAACGTCAGTAGATTTCCACGCTCTGGTTTGACTGATGTGGTTCTCTTCTCTCGTCTGTTTGTTTTTTACCGCTCAGCTATGAGACTGTGCACGGATGAATGTCGCATCTTGGGACACTCTGACCAGTGCTGGATGCCCCCCCTCGCCTCCCCCACTTCCTCTGCCGACTATCGCAACAACATGTACATCCCCGGGGAGGAGTCCTCGCAGCAACCCCAGCTCGAAGACGACCAGTCGTCAGTGGACTCGGAGAACCGTAAAAGCTTCTCCACTTTTGGCAAGGAGTCTGGTGGTGACGAGCTGGGGGCTGGAGGGGGTGGGGAGGTTTGTGCAGCTGGGGGAGGGACTGGCTCCCTCCTCACAGAAATGAACTCTGTGTTCCAGCGACTCCTACCCCCTAACATGGACTCCTACACTGAGTGCAGTGAAACGAGCCCACCCTCGTCCTTATCGACCACTGAAAGAGGAAGCTGTCGTAGTGGCAATGCTGCCGGTAACCATAGTAACAGTGCTGTTCCTCAGGACAACCGCAGAGGGTTGTTGCCAGGTGGCAAAGGTCCTGCTTACCCCCCAGGTGTTGCAGCATGGGCTGCCAGTACCCATTACCTAAATCCAGGAAGTGGATCTGTAGGGAGCAACCATGTTTCCTCCACATCATCATCATCATCATCATCATCCTCATCATCATCAAACTCCACTCCTGCCTCCACTAATGGACAGCCACCACACCTGAAATGGCTGCCAGCCATGGAGGAAATCCCAGAAAACTACGAAGAGGACGACTTCGATGGCGTTTTCCATCAGGGTCACCCGAGCGGGAAACGCAGCGAGAGCCGCCACGAGTCCGGCATGGATGCTAGCGAACTGGCGCACGAGATCAACAAGCTGCTGCAGGACGTCAGACAGAACTAGAGAGGGGGAATAAAAAAATAAATGAGTCTGTTCTCACTGCTGTGGAGAAACATCTCACCACCTTCTCCGTTACTGTGCCAACCTAAAACTCCACCACGCCGGTTGTTTTAACCACTCCAACGCTCGTCTTGCTTATTCGACCAAATTCCCTTTTCTGCCTCTCGGATGCAGAGACTTCGAGTAAAAGTGAAACAAGGCACTGAAACAGCGGAGCTACTTAAAGGCGTCAAAGCGAGAGCTCGGAGAGCAGATTGTGTTGCTGTTATTACAGTCTCTCACATCGCTCCAATGACTGATTTCAAACGGAAATCCATCAACAGAAAGGACGTATTCCTGCTTCGTTTGTAATGTTTACAACAGCGCGAACAGAGGAACAGCCGTTGTGCGATCTGATTTTCATTCCATCCTATACAGCTTTGTACAGTGTCTGTGGAAAAAGGCAAACTCACTTGAATATTGTGCCATGTCTCCTGTTTGGTTATTATGGAATGTAACTGTACAAGTTGACCTTTGTATTTTAAAAATACACTCTTTTGTACTTCTATATATATTTATATGTGTCCATGTATGTATGTACAGAGAAAAGGAAACAAACGTCTATTTTTTATATTTGTCACTGCATGTCTTAATATCTCTTGCTTTGTCCCTTTTCCTCTGCCTTTTTTATTTTGTAAAACAGCCGTATTTTGTTTTGTTTTTGAACGTGCGTGAGTGTGTGAGCGTACACATATCTATATACGGAAAAGTGGAAGAAAAAAAATCACATTTCAATGCAGCTTCATGTTGGAAGTGACTTTTTTTGTATGGTTAAATTGTGACCAGTGGATGATAAATAAAGTGGGGGCATTGGTAAACTTTCTTCACTATTTCACTTTTATACGAGTTTTGGTTGACACTGGTTTCCTCTCAAAGCGTCTCCATTTGCCCCTCTGTCTTTTAGCACCCCCTAATGCTCAGCATCAGAATTGCAGCACCACCGAACCTCCATAGACCCTTGTTCCATCACATCTGCAGACATGTTCCTGGTAATAATCTCAACATTTTCCATGCATTTATTCCCAAATGATCTCCTACCATTAAACTGCATTTAAGCATTCATTTCATTTCAGAGGATTAGTCCTCCTCAGAGTCTCTCATCTGTGAAAGAATCACACTTAAACTAAACAGGCTATGCTTAGCAAATGAACAGCATCTCATAGCTGCGCATGAAGAGAAATTGAAAACATGATAGTGTGCTACACCACCATATGGACTCATAATGCAATTAAGAGAAATTAAGAAGTAAGCCTCCCTGCTCTCGTCTCTCGCTCTGCTCATGATTATGAGGGCTTATCTTTGGTTGATACACTCAGGAACACATGTCACACACTCTCTCACACACACACAGAGGAGTAAATACCACGAGTCGGCTTTTAAAGAGGAAAATTAGAGTGTTTTAGCAAGTTAAAGGTCAGTTCTGCATACAGACAAACAAAAGTAGCCGTTAGCATCTCAGCAACTCACACAAAAAAGTCACGCCACGTCTGCGGCTAGACCTGAGCACCAAAAACAACAGAACATGCTTGACAACACTTGATAATGAGCTCATTTGTCTTCATTATTAAATAATTCAAGCTTCAGCGAGCAGCAGGTGTGAGAGATTCACTCGTGCTAGATGCTAAATTAGCTTAGCTTCGTGTAGGGGCTAATTTTATGCAAACTTCCAGCTTTATACATTAGAAGAAAGTGTTTTGGAGATCAAAGAGAGTTTTTACCTCTTAATGTTTTGTATGCAAAGTGTGATTTTGGCTAGCTGATGTTCTTAGGTCTCCTTTCACTGTTTCCTTTGATTTATTTGCAAAATGATGAAGAATATTCTACCAGTTCTCAAACTACGGTTGTGTTCAGTGGCAAACGGGACTGATTATTCACACCATGAAGTTATTTCTGCTGAATTTCTAATGTGAATGTTTTCAGCTTTGTAAGATTTTCACAAAACCAAATTTTGAAACTAACAACTCAAAAAGCAAATGAAGCAGGGGGCTGGAGCAGGTGAGTATCTTTTTATTTGGTGTAAATAAACAGGCAAGTAATTTTTTCAACACTAACAGAGCAACTCTGATTAAGACACATATAGTGTTGAAACCTAGCTTCCTGTTTTTTTTTGTTTTGCATCAATTAACATGTAAGTCAGCTGCTCCAGCCTCCTGCCTCATCTTTGATCGCCCATCAGTTATTCAGCACCAGATTGTGAGTGGATGACGTGCAAAGAGCCTTATTTTAACTCTAAAAGTAGATTTTGATCACCTGAGTGTGGATTCTGCAGGGATCGGATTTAATTAAGTTCATTTTGTGGGTGGAAACTGGCGTGATTTAAAAAGTTTAAATAAAATGTGTGTGCGTGTGTGTGTGTGTGTGTGTGTGTGTGTGTGTTTTCAGAATTAGATTGGCAGCATATGACAGACGATCTCTGGCAACAAGGCAGTTTTTGGTTTAGGGTAATGGTGTGTGTAATAGAAAAATAAAACAACGAACAAAAAGAGTGAGAGAACCAGTGAATGCATTTATTTCCACTCACATAATTAATTTAACACAAACACAACATGGCACCGATAGGATGCTGTAATATGAACCCCGGCTTGTTATTGTCTTGGTAAATCCACCATTTAATTGTTTGTCAGTCTCACTTGCCTCTCACTCCCATTCTGACACCTGCACTCTTCCATCTTCTCTCACCCTCCTGCCCATACCCCCATATCTCACTTTCATCTCCTGGCTATTTCTGTCTGTTCATCTGTCTGTTTGAGCCTCACACGCCCATAAATATTCCCCTTCACACAGAAACAGGCACGCACACAAATCCAAATCCCAGCAGCGTTCTCAGCTCATATCGCATCCCCAAGTCCCCACAGACATTAGAATCTGTAATGCTCCTCTGTGCTTCATCTCATCCTGTCACTCTCTGATTCGTCCCTAATCACAAGGCCTATTTTCACTAATTGTTTTCTTCACATCACCACAACAAATGTATTAACTCATAACGCTTAAGTCAGACCTTTCTTCTTCTGACAAGATGCAAAAACATAAACGCCGCCATCTTCTTCAGGTGGAAAATGTGCTTTTTTTTCTTTAGGAAGGGTAATGCTTACATCACGCGGGGCTGCTGACCTGAAATCAGCTCTCGTTTAAAGGCAAAACCACAACCCTGACCCCTCGCTGCACCTGCAGCAGCAGCAGCAGGGAAGCAGGATATTGGCCGGCCTGTAATATAAGAAGAGTAAACAAGTCACACTGATAAAAACACCAATGATGGAATGCCATCCTCGTACGTAAACTTTATTGTTTAAGGCTCATCTTCTTTTTGTTCCAGCGGTTCAAATCTGAAGGAGAATCCACGAGCCGAGGTTCAGGAGAACCTGAGACACCAGTCTTTCCTTCCAGTTTCACACAAGCTAAGATAAATCAAACAAGTTTAAATTAGAATTAAACTAACTTTTTTTACACACGCACCTTTTATGTTTCCACTTGAGCTCATCAGAGAAAACCACATTTGTTTATAACGGGGCCGCAGAGGCAGGACGAGTTGTCCTGCAGTCAGAGGATTGACTTTTGGTTTGCTAATACTAGTTTATCCATTTAATTATAGATCCACTAGGATAAATACAATAAAGTTTATCTTTCACCAAATACAATATTTACTAAGACATCACAATATAACTATAGGCACATTACGTGTGTGTGTGTGTGTGTGTGTGTGTGTGTGTGTGTGTGTGTGTGTGTGTGTGTGTGTGTGTGTGCTCCGTCTTCTCGATCCCCAGTGAGTCGTGGAGGATGGCTGCTTATACTGAGCCAGGATTCTCTGGAGGTTTCTTCCTGTTAAAAGGGAGTTTTCCTCTCCACTGTCGCTGCATGCTTGCTTAGTATGAGGATTGCTGTATAGTCAGTGACACTAGTCAGTGACTCGATGCAATTTGCTGGGTTCCTTATATAGGAAACATTATTTCTGATTGGCTTAATGAACTGTGAATTGGAATGTTTATTATGTGAAGTGCCTTGAGACGACTCTTGTCGTGATTTGGCGCTTTATAAATAAACTTGAATTGAATAGGGTAAATCTCGGCTACCGGCCGAGAATTCTGCTCCTGCGTTCTTGTGCAAGACACTTAACCCCCCACCCCCGCCTTGGTGGTCAGAGGGACCGGTAACGCTCGTGCACAGCAGCTTCACCCCATCAGTGAGCCCCAGGCTACGCTGTAGCTCATCGTCGCCAGCGTGTGAATGTGTGTGCACATGGGTTACTTGTAAAGTGCTTTGGGGGGTTGTAGAAACCAAGAAGGTTCTATTGTTTGATGTGTGATTGTTTTATGTGTCTTATGTGTTTTATATGTACTGTTATGAGTACTTATGCCTTAAACTGCATCTTAATGTCTCAGAAATCTTTAAAAAAAAGACTTATTTAATTTATGGACAAACGCCAGCATCTCTAAGGTTCCAGACTTTTATTTTGAAGGTCTCTTTCTTATTTCCTTTTCCCCTTAAAAATGACAGAATTCAAGTCGAAGTGCAACGTCAGCTTCTGCTTTACTGTTTTCTGTTGGATCTATTCAGATGTTTCCTGTTAGGAGGACATATGCAAGCATAAGGTGAAGGTATCTTTAGAAAATGAGGTGCTGAAAAGTTAAGAGGGAACCAGCTTGTGTAATTGCTAACATGCTGCTGTGGAAAGCCACGGCAGAAACATGAAGGAACGCCGCCAGAAGTGACCTTTCATAAAACCCATTGGAATATAAATATTACTTAGCTTCAAGTCTGTTTTGTCACAGTTCCAAGGATCCACTTCAGAGGGACTGAAGAGTCGCGCGTGGCTGCGGAGCAGCAGGTTGCAGACGTTTGTTAGTTTACAGGTGAAATTGGAAAATTAAAATAAAAGTTCATAAATGTCAGAAATCCAACTTAAAAAGTGAAACTAAACTATGAGACAGACTCATTCCATGCAAAGACAGATGTGTCCGCCTTTATTTGTTATAACTGCGATGATTACGTCTCACAGCTGATGAAAACTTCACATTCAGAATCTCAGATTACAAGAATATTGTGAAAAGGTTCAATATTCTAGACCCAAAGTGTCCCACTCTAATCAGCTAATGAGTCCAGAACATCTGCAAAGGGTTCCTGAGCCTTTAGATGGTCTCTCAGTCTGAGCTGGATTACTGACATATAAACTTTAGCACCAGATTCTCTTTTTTTTTTTTTTGAGTCTCACCTTTGGGACTACACAACCAAAGTTTAACATGTGGGTCATTTGTCTTCTGGCCTCTCGAAACTTCTCATTTTACAGAACACATTATTCCTTTGTGCATGCATGTTTATTTAAAACAGTTTACGTTTACTTCACTGAATGAATACGCTGATGTTAATAAGGAAGACAGACTTGTCCAGCAGATGGCACTGTGGGACTAATATATCACCAGAAGCAGAGGGGGGGCTACAGAGGCCGATGGGCTTTTAGAGCTCCACTCAGACCTCAGCCTCTCATTCAACAAGGCCTGCAGAACAACTGTAGAGTGAGGAGAGTGCTGAGGCTGAATCATTCTTTCACTCTAATTGCATATTGGTTCATGCATCTTTTGCTTGCCCCCCCCCTTTTTTTTTTAGCAGGGATTATCTTTTCTATGTCTTTGAGAGTGGATGCATGTTTGCCCTCATCATGGTGATGGTAAGTGTGCATGCAAATAATTGCTGGGGATCATGACAGTGTTAATTTAGTTGCAGTTGGCTCTATAAGTGTTTCTTTGTGTGTGTGTGGAGGAGGGAGGTGCGTGAAGGTGATTGTGTTTTCTGTACTCTCTCTCTCTCTCTCTCTCTCTCTCTCGCCCTAA